TTTTTAACTAATGATATCCTAAAATGAATGTAGAGATTAGAATTTCTCAGTAAATGGGAAGGGTGGAAATCTTTAGTTATAGGCTGAACCTGATACTTCTGTTGTCCCTTTTCTACCTTAAAGGCCAATTTACTAAAGGAGAAGAAAACAGTAAGTGAATTTTCTTTTTCTTCAGACAAGTACTGGTGGCTAGTGAGATAGTTTAAAAGTGCTAATGATAAGAAGTTTTACTGAAACGGTGTTTTAAAAATACAGGTTTCACAATCTTGTAAATGAATGATATACCTGTTCCAATTTCACGCGTAAACCTATTTATAGGGACAGAATAGGCAAAGGCAGAGTACGGGGCACTGATTCACAACACGCAACATGTAGAAAATGGACCAGTGGTGTTGGCCTTCTGTACCCTCCTGTGACACTGACAGACCTGGTGCCTCCTCATGCCAAGGCCCCTAGGCCTCACTGAATACTGACAAATGCATAGCTAGAAACCAGTCTGGCTCACTTGTGTGTTAGCATTGGTAAAATAGATGTTAAGTGTGTAAGAATGTGTTTGGACTTGATTAAATGCTTGTGAGTTGCTGCATGTATTAATCTCACTTATAACTGTATCCCATGTTATAAGGTAATATTTAAGTGTTTTCCTTCTAACTATAGAAGTGTTTTCTATGAAACTGGAAATACCCTCAGTCAGGAAAGAAGCATTGCCAAGTGTGAAATGCTAATTCACCACAGTATTATCTCCTGCCCAAAAAAGAAGGCCTATAAACACACACGAACCATTATGGAACATCACTGGACAAAAGACTTTGTTGATTTCTCTTTTCACATCCATGAAGAGGGGATATGCACAAACCTTTGTCCCATCACAGTTTGAACTTTGGGGGAAGAGAATAAAAATCCATGATCAGAAGGGACTGTATCACTATGCTGCTTTGAATTTGGAGAGCACAATATTTCTAAGCATAAGCAAGGAATCCCCAAGCTGCGTTAGCTCTAGAGGACATATAGAGCTTGAGTGTAACTCATTTGCATGTGTATGTTTATCTGCTTTAACCTTGTAAATTGCTCTCTTGTTTCTTTTTCTTAGTTATTAATCTTTAATTAGTTTATTACGGGACTGGCTATAAACATTGTCTTTGGTGTGTGATCTGAGGTGCAATTGACCTGGAGTAAGTAACTGGTCCTTTGGGACAAGGAGTAACCTAAATATTATTGTGACTTTTTGGTGTAAGTGGACATCTATCACAAAGGCAGCCTTGCCTGGGTGGCAAGATAGACTGTAAGTACCCAAAGGGACTGTCTGTGACTCCATGTTAAGGCTGTTACAGTGCTTCAGGAGTTCACACTTGATACTTGATTGTTGAAATCTAATTACAGAACACATAACCAGTTTGGAGTTTGTGCCCTGGTTTGTAACAGTCTGCCCTGAGGTTGGCACTCATGTTGATATGCTTTTCCAGACATCTTGACACTCCCACCAGTGCCAACAGTGTCTGCACCCCCGAACAGAAGCAAATTGCACCCCCATCTGGTGTCTTCTGGTGCAGGATGTCAAGCCAGGGAGTTTTGTCCATGGCTCTAGTAGGTGATGCTCCTCCTTCTCCTGGAAATTGTCTGCTGACTAAGGAATACATAACTGCATCAATAACACTTGACTCACATCTTCAAAGAGCCAGAAACAATTTCTTTACAATGACAGCTTTAGATCCTGATGCTGTCATATGATTAAAGGAAGTCTGGGCCTTTGACCTGTGTTTATTGTGACCTAGCCATAATCCAGCTCAGGTCTCAGCCAAAGATTAAAAGAGAGAGGGTTAGTAATTATGTTCTACTGGTGTTTGGAAGAAGGTATGGGCAGGAGCAGGCAAAAGGAAATCTCTTTAAATGAATTGCCTTAGTCCAGTGAATAGTAAAATAGATATGTTTCATATGGATAGGCAGCTATTCTACCATCCATTAGCTAAATTATGCCTGGTAGTTCCATACACAGTTCAGTGTAGCAGAAAGTGAAATGCTGAAAGTTTGTTCCATGAACACAGTTATTCTTCTATAAGGCCTTTGTTTAAGAGAGTTCTTTGTACAAAAATGTAGGAGTTTCAATAAAAGTATTGCAAATAGTGTAATAAAAAAGCAACAGCTTTCCACAGACATGCCAAAAGAAAGATAATGATTAGATTTCCAGAATTCATTTTGGTTTTAAATTATACTTGTCTCTCAAGAGTAAGTACTGAATAATGTGCCCCAAACCACCAGTCCAAATCTAGTTCTACAATGAGTTTTGAAAAGCTTATTTTTGAATGTGTAGAGTTTTAACAGAAATTCTGGACTGCTGTGACTTTTACTTGAATGGAGGCTAACCTGCTGAGTTTATTGAAGGAGGATTAGAGGAAAGTGGCATTAAAAAATCATGAAGCAGTTAAAATAAACCTCTAGGCTAGCAAAACAACAGCTTGGATACAAAAACAGCGGGACAAAATCCACAAGTTTTACCTCCACAGAGTATGGGATTGAATTAGTGCCTTCCATGCGCAGTGTTGAGATGAACACCTACTGAACTGAAAATGGCTGAAGACCTGAGATTATCTTCAATATGTTTTACAAAACCTCAGGCAGAAGCAGAAAAAGCCCAGTCCTGTAATGTGCTGAGCACCTTCAATTCCATTAAAATCAATGTGCATTGAGGTCACGCAGAGCATCATAGGAAGTGCTCGGTATCTCATGGAACCATCCCAGAGTAAGCAAAGACCAATGGTGATGGCCACAATGTCCATTTCCTCCGTGTGTCCAAACTAGCAGGTGGAGGTTAGTTTGCCTGCTATGCTATTTTGAAGTGCAGAATTGAAAGGTAAGTTGAATCAATAAGATGGAAATATTTCTAAGTTTGTGATTTATTTCTGGAAGGGAAAGGAAAGAAAGAAACTAGCCCTTGGTATAGCTGTAGCACTGAAACCTCTAATTTATGGCTATCACCAACATACCCACATTGAATCATGTAATTCCCGTATTTTGGTACTAGAAAAAGTGAGGGTAAGACGTTCAGGACCAAATTACCTGAAATGGAGTGCCTAGGGCTGCATTTCTGTCTCAGACGCCTTTGGTACCACAGCCACACATGAAGAGGCCTCCTGACCCCAAGCATGTGAGTGTGCCAGGCACACACACACACATACATACACAAAGGGAGATAAAGTATCATAAGAAGGAAAACATTATGCTGTATAATAAATTTTGTGAATCAGATCCTCTGAGGCGGTACACCAGCTTTCCATCACTGTGGGGCAGATCTTGGCTGTACAGTGTAGAGGGGTAAAGCTATAGACTCATATGCTACCCTTATCCCTGCTGCTAGCACAGAAGGCAGGGGTAGAGAAAAGGAGGTGTGGCCATGACACCCTTCTGATGCACTGATCCCTATTTATAGTGTTGTCCTCTTGGGGCCGTTAGCTACTGTGTAACTTATAGTAGTCCACAAGCAAGTGGACATTCCTGCAGGCAGTGTCTCCAGGATTGTGAAAGGTGCAACAATGAGCTTGACACTGCAGATGACAAAAATATTCTACATGGAGAAAGACTTCCTTATGAAGAAGGATTGAAATTTAGATCAGACTTGAATAAGAGGGGGTATTACTGAAGTATGCAAAATAATGAATGGTATGGAGAAGGTCAGATGGACACTCCTATTTACCCTTTCTGCTACTACAAAGGAGAAGGGAATATCCTTGTATGTACTTTAGATTATAGGTTCTTTTTAGCAGGGATTCTTTTTTTTTTTGTTATATATGTTTGTAAAGTGCCTAGCACTATGGGATCCTGGCCTCTTGATGCTACTGCAATACAAATATCAATAACTACACCCAATGCAATGGAAAGGCATTTAAAAAAATACAGTGCATTGCCACAAGATATCTTTGAAAAAGAGAAGAGATCACCTTGATGAGCCAGAACTGAGGAAGCAGGGAAGTAGGTTATACATTAAGACTAAGGAAATGGCATTGCAGAACACAAGTAAATAGCAGATAACATTGCTGTCAGCTCTTCTTGGTGTAAGTGAAAACTGTGATGACAAAGCATAGTCATTTTTTTCTGTTTAATTTTTAAAAGTAGTCTTTGTCTGAGAAAGTCACGCTAATGAATACATGAGATGTTTGTTGTGACTATGGATGTTTACCATCAAAGAGCTACATAAAAGGGAGACTACAATGGTATAGTCAAAGTGGTACAGTCCCGCTAGCTATACTGTTACATCGCTATTCCTATACAGGAAGGGAAATAAGCTATACTTGTATACAGCACCTTTAAACTAATATAACTGCGTCCACATTAGGGGTTGTACCAATATAACAATTTTGGTAACAAATCACATCCACATCACATTCCACAGTATAATATGAAAAAGTCAAAATGGAAATGAAACATTTTGATCTGAAAGGATTTTTTTTTAAATCCATTTAATGGAGAATTTAAAAATGTTTGAATTTCATGCCAAATCAAAAGAAAAACAAATTTTGAAGTCTCAGAATCCTCTCTGAAACATGTTTCCTTTCTCAGCCCAACTCTAATTCTTACCATGGTTGCAACCGTACTGGAAGATTTCAGCAAACCAGTAAAGTGCCTGAAACCACTATTGCTTATTGTTAAAAGCAGCCAAGTCAGCAGGCTGTAAATGGGCCATGCAGCAGCCTTATCTTAACCAAGGCAGGAGGAGAGGGTGCTTTGGGTGCCACAGAAAGGGCAGCTTGACCCCGCATCCTTCCTGATAAGAATTGTGTTGAAGTTGCTGATACCTGCATTTTAGAAGAGCAGGCTATGCCCTCTATTAGGACTCAAGGCTGCAAACTCTGGGAATAACCCAAACCTGGTTAATCAATAATCAGAAGGAAACCTCTTGCTTGAGCATTGAATCTGCTTGCTTAACAAGTTTTCTTTAAGGGACATGTCATTGTGTTACTAATGTATAAATAAGGAGGAAAAGTTTGAGGTAGTTGGACTCTTCAGGACTGGACTCTCCCTCTGGATACATCTTGCGGTCCCCACTGGCAGACGGAAGATTTGGCCACCACAAGGCTGCCGCTGTGCCACTCGAGCCACCCTCAGCTTCAGTAATTATCGAGGGTTGGGGGTGTTTTACTAATCTGTTGCAGACGTGAGTAAGTGTTTGAGACTAAGTAAAGTTTAGCTTTAAGTGAAAGAACTCTTATGTTGTCCTGTTTGTGCCAGCCATCCATCGGTCGTGTCTCCCTGATTTATTTCCTGACACCACCTCGCACAGAGTAAAAATGACCAAGAGCTTTGGGTTGAAAGAACCCCGGGTAACACAACCGTGATCTTTGAAGAACCAGAGTTGACTTTTTCATGGTAACAACTGTATTTGTAGAAGTATTTCTTTTAAGATTAGACATGTAGTTAAAAAGAAAAAAGTTGTTGTACAGCAATCCTGAAAGTGGCTGACATTACAATATGACATTACTACCAAAATGTCAGTGGTAAGTGGATGTGCATTGGTGGTTGAGGGTGCTCAGCACGTAGGTTGCTATTGGGCCTCTAGTGTTGCTTCAGCTTGTCAAATGAGCTTCTAACCTGACATTAACAGTTTCCCTTTTATGTCCTTTAATTATGCATTCTAAAATGATCAATATCTTCAATGCTATTGTTAAAAAAAAAAGTAAGCCCTTATATAATAGATGCATCTTACAGCTTAGAATTAGTGTACTTATGTATAGTTTTGAAATTAAAAAAGGAACAAAGATTGGTAGGATCTGAACATATGTTGCATTCTTTTTTTTATAATGGAGTGAAATAAACCATAATGTAGTCCATTAAAGCTAATTCTATAAGCACGCCAACATGGGAAGTGAAGAGGTAGCTTTCCTTTTCTTGTCATTGTTGCTATGGTGATAGCTATAACCACCACTTTAAATTACTGCTTTGCTTCTTTAAAATGTTCACATTTCATTAGATTTTATTAATATATCAGATCGGGATCTGATATTTTAATTGGTGTTTAAAGGCAAAGTGAAAGCTTGTTTTGTATTTTAAACATGAAATCCATGTAAAATTAAATATATATTTAAATACAGTATCAAGAAGTCAAGATCTATGATCTGTCTTAAAACTGGCATAGTTTCATGGGGAATGAATTCAAGATTCTAAATATATATTTAAATCTACCACTTAAAAATTCTAAAAGAAAAGTCTTCTTGAACTCATTCCAATTTCATCACAATTCTGTTCCTTTTTTTCTTAAAACACCCTGAGCAAAATATTAAAAACAAAATTTTAAAACCTTCTAAAATACACAAGGATTAGAATGGTTAAAGCAACATCAGTTGCCAGGAAGCCCTCATAGCAGTTTGAAGAACTGTGTGATCCTTGCTTTTTCTTTGAAATGCCTCTAAAGCTGTGGCAGTCCTCTGCTAGCCATCATTTCCAATTCGCTCCCATTAAAGGAATCCCCCTCCAATTTCTGAGGTTCTAAAATTTTGGGGATTTGTGTTTAAAATATCTTTGTGTATTGCGAATGAGGGGTTGCAATGAAATCGTGCGAGTTGGTGAGTCTCACAATATTTGCTTTTTAATTAAAGTTCCAGCTTATGGAGTCAGGTGATTGCTTGGCATTCTAAGCTTTGATTTAGAGAAGTAAATTTCTAGCCCTCATGGCTGTGAAAAGGTAGGAAACATGAACCAGGTATACTTTAAAGGCTCAAAAACCAGAAGGCAAGTAAAACAAACCCCAAGTATATTTATTTTTAAAACTCATGATTTTGGAAAATACTTAACCAGAGAGATTGTTTCATGACCAGTCATGTTGCCTTACCATTATGCTTTTTAGAGAGGAATGAGTGTAGGTAGCTCACCCATGAGTTTGCCAGTCACTTTTATATTCTGTTATCCTCATTTTTGGTTTAGAGGGGATTATTTGCTGACATAGTGTTCAGTATTTCTTATATCCAGTGGAAAAGAGTCTTCCTTCTCTATGCTCTTTATATACCACTATCCTGCACATGCTCCCTCACAAGTTGCAGGGACAGGGCTGGGGCCCAGGCCATAGCAAAGAATGACAGAGATTTTGGAGCAATTCTGGCTTATCGAGATGCCCATAGACAGCAATTATGAGGCTGCTGAAGTTTACAGCAGTCCTTCCAACTGCATAAATTATTTAGAGGGCCATTGTGACCCACAAATGGCTCAGAATCTGAAGGGGAAAAAAGTTGGTTTAAAGCCACCTTTGCCACCTCCTCCAGGCTTGCGTCCACCCACTGGCCACCTGTCTGTGTCTGTCTGCATTTGAAAAGTGGCTCACAATAGCAAAATAGTGATTAATCTGCTATAACTCCCTCAGTTATATTTATTATGAAGTTCTGTTCATCATGAGTAGTTTGCTTATTACTGCCTGGCTTCTGACTTGCACTGTTATGTTTACTTGTAGCCTTTTACTTTTATATAGAAAAATGAACACACCCCAACTAAAGGAGCTGAGATTGAATGACTTTTCTAGCAAATGCAGAGCCAGCAGAGTCCTCTCCTGCAGAGGGCTGATAAGTGTTTAAATTTTTTTCACTATGGTAGAAGTTGTGGCCTTTCTCCTTTAGCTTCGATAAGGGTTTGGATTTTACAAATGCTGCACCGTATTTTTTGTGATTAGATTGTCCTTGTGCAAACACAGCTAGCCATTTGCTAGGCAGGTCATTGATCAGTCTTATAGAAGAAACCAACAAAAACAGCAAACATTCAGGAGTCTGGTGGCACCTTAAAGACTAACAGATTTATTTGGGCATAAGCGTTGGTGGGTAAAAACCTCACTTCTTCAGATGCATAGGCTACCCTCTGATACATAGCAAACATTCGTAATTCATACTGATCAGACATTTAAAAATGCTCTAGAGGTCTCTTAGTGGTGTGAGGTTATTCTACAGCATTTTTTTTTTCAAGTTTGCTTGTCATGTCAGTCATTATCACACGCTTTTGTTTTAATGTAGTAATGTTTTCTGTCTTTGTTTACAGAATCTAGTGTTTCAGTTTGATCATATTTGTTGTGGAAAATATTTTCTTGTTTCAGGCAATTTCTAAGGGTTAAAGCAATATTCTATGTAAAAATATAAAATGAAGTTGAGGCATGGATGTTGAACTGAATATAAACTGCTAAATATTAACAGCACAAATAATTTCCTTTCAAAATTGTAACCTTATTATCTGCATTGCAGAGCAACAACTGTATGTATTGGTTTATGGCTTTTAAAATGATTGCAATAGCTAAGCCTCTAGTAGAAAAATGGTGGCTTATATTTCCTTTGCTACCTCCCACCATGTTTCTTAAAGACATAAAAGATATGTCCTTATCCTGCTAGCTCATATGCATGTGCAAACCCCATGGGTGAAATTTACCTCTGTACAGAGATCCGACATGAGGCCTATGATACACATAGGTTCCACTTAAACCTTTCTTTAGAGCAGGGGTTCTCAAACTGGGGGTCAGGACCATCAGGGGGTCGTGAAGTTATTACATGGGGGGTCGCGAGCTGTCAGCCTCCACCTCAAACCCTGCTTTGTCCAGCATTTATAATGGTGTTAAATATATAAACAAGTGTTTGTAATGTATAAGGGGGGGTCGCACTCAGAGGCTTGGTATGTGAAAGGGTCACCAGTACAAAAGTCTGAGACCCCCTGCTTTAGAGAGTGTAAAAGTTTCACAGGCTTTATGTTGGTTCTCTATGCAGGGATGAATTTCACCCTTGAGTGAGAAGAATTTCATAGTCTAGGGCACCTCTTGGATCCTTGATTGCTTTTCAAGTATTGCTCTCAGCATTAATGCAACAAGTCCTTGTATTTAACAATTAAATTATTCTTTTATTCAAACATGATATAGACAGGTCCGGCTCCAGGGTTTTGGCTGCCCCAAGCAGTCAAAACAAAAAACAACAACAACAAAAAAAAGCCACGATCGCGATCTGAGGCGGCAATTCGGCGGGAGGTCCTTTGCTCCCAGGCGGAGTGAGGGACTGTCCGCTGAATTGCCGCCAAATACCTGGACGTGTCGCCACTCTCCGGAGCGGCTGCCCCACGCACCTGCTTGAGAAGCTGGTGCCTGGAGCCGGCCCTGGATATAGAGCTTGTCAGGTATGTATATTATTTTCCACAAATTATTTTGAAGAAAATGATGATTTTTTTTCACACAACCCAAAAATTGTTGACAAAAATGGAAATTTTCTCATCAAAAAGCAGTTTTGATGAAAAATGTTCAACCTGCTCTAGCAGTATATGACCCAGTGCACGGTCCCCTGATTTATCCCTGCAGTTCTGAGCTCGTTCTTCCAAAATGGAGGATGACCTTTCTGCAGCCACATCCTTTATTACTGCACGACAACAGCTACTTCACAGAGTTTCCAACAACAGTCCAGAATGTATGTGTGATGTTGCACTCCATATGTTTTATGGAAATATGCTTATGAGTGTGAATATGATGTAACTGGAATATGCTTTATGCAAAACGTCTCTTGTAAGGTATCATAACAAAGGTTATAACCTACTGAATATATTCCTCCTATTTGTATGCATGTATCATTCTTGTATCTGAAGCTAGAAATATGAAGTATAACTCTGAGGTCCTATTGTAATTATGAAAAGTGTGGGCCATTAATGATGATTTAGCTCCCATTGACTAGGTCAATTGATTGTAAATGGTTTATTTACCTGCAAACCTTCCTGTGTACATGTGGGCCAACCCAGGAAGAATGGAGACTAGGGGTCTTACAGTGACATGTGACCATGTCACATGATACTGGAATCCATCTTAATCCTTGTACTTTTCCATTGATGAGGTAGGGGTGGGGACAAGCACAAACAAAAGATTCCCGCCTTGTGCCAAAGCTATAAAATGGGGTGGAGCAGGACAAAAGGGACTGCCAGTCATGAGAAAACCCCTGCTTACCACCTGAGATGTCTCCTGGATCTAACAACGACTGTACCAGGGGAAAGGATTGGGCCCAGACTAAGAAGGAGTCTAGTCTCTGAAAGAAGCTTATTGGAACATCTCTGAGGGTGAGATATTACCTGTAATCAGTTTCTTAATATATTAGGCTTAGACGTGTGTATTTTTGTTTTATTTTGCTTGGTGACTTAACAGACAAAACAAAGTATTACTTTAAACCAC